GGGAGCAGTTACCTTCCCAGGTCACATCGTACAAGTCCGAGACCTTCGCCATCTTGCCGGCGTAACGTCCACCTCTGCGCCCCTGCGCGATCACTCTCTGAGCATGCGCCCGTGGGCTGCGCACGCGTACTGATGTCTGCTGAAGCCTCTGCCCTGCCTTGGGCTTTGCCCGGGCTCCCCGCGGTTAGGTTAACGGGCGGCGGGATGGGAGAACGTGGGTGCGCAGGACCGGCAAACAACAGCTGGAGGCAGGGGCAGAAGCAGGGGTGGGGTAGGACTGGAGCTGGGGTGAGGCGCTGTCAGACAGGGGCAGCTGGGGGAACCTCAGGCAAAGTTCCCGCGAAGGGGGTGAGCCCTCTGCCGTGGCAGCAGAAATAGGGGGTGGGTGGCAGAGGGGCTGTTTTCCCCACCTGGGCAGGACGGTTCCCGCTTCCCAGGGCTGAGTGCTTACAGGCTCAACGCAGCCCAGTGCCTGGACAAGACAGGGCTTCTCGATCTGCAAGCATGGATTGAGCTGCTGAAAGAGACTGGGTCCAGTGAAATATTTTACATACACGCACACCCCTGAAAACTCTGATGGCCATACATATTTGTAGGATTAAAAGGATTGGTTATTAGATAATATGCCTGCATAAAGCCTCAGAGTAGCTCGTCTGCCTGCCTGCATTGGACTGTCTTTTTCTTATAGTCCACTGTAAATGTAGTTTCATGCCTTTAAATTATTTACTTTTTAAAATGTTATTTTTTATTACTCTTCTTATTCTTAGCACTTCATCACTTCCCTTCATTAATACTGTGCAGATGGATGACATTGTGCTATTTAACTTAAATTTTAATACTAGATAATCCTTGAACATATTAATAGTTGCTAGTAGCTTCAGCAATCACATCTGACAATATTTCTAGAATAACTCTTCCTGTGTTTTTACTGCAGTTTTGTCATCTACAATTTTTATTTTTATTTTTTTTATAACAAATTTATTCTTTGAGATCATATGACTTCAAGGCTGACTGATTTCCTGGGTTAGTGTCAAAACTTTAGCTTCCTTTGATCTGCCAATGAGGATTGCCTGTGTCAACTGTTATTTTGCCTCCGTATCCATCACCCTAGTGCTTTTTCACATGTCACCATTGTGTGTAGAACTTCATTCCCAGATATTAACTAAAGGCCAGATTTTTAAAGGTTGAAAGCATCTAGATACTTTTAAAAATCCCACCAGTGACCTAAATGCCTTTAGAAATGTGGCCATAAGGGCACTGTACCATCTTGTATGAAACCCTTCTCAAAGCCAAATTTCTACGTAATTTTTACTAAACGAAGTAAAGGCAGATTGAACCACAAGAATTCTAAAATTGACCCCAAAATAATTAAATTTAAAAAAATAGTTTGGTTAGTTTTTTGTTTTGTTTCTGAGTCTTTAGGGTGCACTAACATCATACTTTTGCTGTTACCTCTCCCAAAGAATCTATATACCTAAAATGGTTTTACATACATATAACATTCAATACTGCTTTGGACTTCCAGAAATATGTGATTTATCACCCTCCTTTTAATTGAAATTGTTTAAAAAAATCCTTATTTCTGTAAGTAATCACCCATCCTGCAAACACTGCAGAGGCAGATTAGGATTTATTGGGCCCTGCTCACAAAGAACATTTTGGCTCCCTATATCTCCACCTGCCCTGGGTGGCATGCCTCAGAGGGAAGGGACATAGGCCAGGGGCTGCTCTCAAGTACCCTAGACCCCTGCCCAGGGCAGGTGGAGGGTCCAGGGCTCCCCACAGTGGCCCAGGTTTCCCGCGTGGCTCTTGCTATGGCCCAGCTTGTGGCCTGGCCAGAGGGTGGGGCCTTGGGGGGAAGAGGAGGGGCAGGAGGTGGTGCCACAGTTCCGGCACCGGTGGCTCCCTCATTTCTACACAGGTTCTGGCACTCCTGCAAGGGCCCCCAAAAGTTGTGACACCCTGGCACCCCAATATACACCATTGTCATGTAATTAGGATATGTTTTGTACAAAGTATGCCTTGTATGGTATCATTCTAAAAGTCTTGATCTGCTAGAAGACAGTAATATCTCGTTGGATTGTATGTGAAGTTATGAAGTTTGGCTATGTATGTGTTACTGAAACATGTGAGGTTGAAAACACCCACAAGCAGCCTTTCAAGTAGAACAGTAAAAAGGCCAAACAATGTTAATGGCTTATTGAGGAAATGCACACAAGCAACAAGGATTGCCCCAAGAACTGTGTATAGTACAAACCTCTCAGAGATAGCACTACACAATGGGAACTGTTTGACCCAGGTCACAGCAAAAGAACTTTCCGCTAAGTGGAAAGAAGATATAAAAGGGGAAAATGACATCATGATGGTACCTCACTCTACCTACAACAACACACCTGGAAACATCTGAGGGGCAAGGACTGAACTATGGGAAGTGATGGTCCCAGGCTAGAGGGATTTTTATCCTGTGTATGAAAACCTGTTAAAGCCAAGGCAATTTATGCCTTAAGAATCTGCCAGCCTGTTTATCACTCAGGGTGAGAATTTGCTAATTCATATCCCACCTATCTAGTGTGTTAAACTCAGTTTGCGGTTTTGTTTATTTACAAAGGTAATCTGCTTTGATCTGTTTGCTATCACTTATAATCACTTAAAATCTATCTTTTGTAGTTAATAAACTTATTTTTGTTTTGTCTAAAACCAGTGTGTGGAAATTATAACTTGGGGTGGAAAGCTGTTGCATATCTCATTCCACACTGAGGGAGGGGTTGAATTTTATGAGCTTACGCTGTACAGTTCCCTGTGCAGTGCAAGATGGTATAAATTTGGGTTTACACTCCAGAGGGGGGTGCGTGCCTTAGCAACTGGGAGGTGCCTTAGCTGAGCCTTCCCATGCAGAGCTGGTCTCAGCATCTGTGTGTAAAGCTGCAGCTGGGTGTGTCCCTATCTGTGTGCATGCTGGTGAAAGAGCAAGCTTGGAGAGCTTGGCAACTTATCAGCACCACAGTGTGAAAGGGAGCCCAGGCTGGTGGGTGAAGCGGGCTCAGTGGTACCCCAGTTTCAGGTGGCACCTGGGGGGAACCCATCACACCCGTGCATTAATCTGCCACTGAAACACTGGAGCACATACTTACTTTTCTATTACTTCAATTGTTGCATACACAGATGCTGTTATTCTACCAAATTGTTTATATTTCTAATTGCATATCTTACTTGTATAGCTTTTTATGTATGCTACATATTTTGTTAGGATATATTCTCATTCTGAAAAATTCACAGTTTTGTACTACCAAAAATCAACGATTTTTAAACATTAATTATTCTGTCACTCCTTTGCATTGGTCTGGGTGGGTGCATAATGGCAAAACTTAAGTGCCTTGTTTCCACGATGGTTTTATAGAGGGATAGCTAATGCACATATTAGCTACACAGCAGTAAAAAAAAAATACACATTTTCTTAACAGTGAGCACACACACTATAATGCTGACTCAGAGATGTTTAATGCACCATTATTATTTGTGGCTTGACAGTTCTGATTATGTCGATAACTGCTCTTTTGCCATCAGAGGTTTTTGCATCTGAATGTCTGCAGCCCCCCACTGGAGAGGTTCTCTTGGAAAACTGTTAAAACATTTGTAAACTAAAGGAATTAATAAAGGCTTTCCCCCCTCAATTTCCTTTATTCCTTTCCCCATTACTTACTAAGGGCTTGTCTACATGGTTACCCTGAAGGTCTGAAGTTAATAACCATAAGTTACAATGCCTTATCCCCTGTGTGGATGCTATCGTTCAGAAGTTAAATGTCTTTAATTTAGACAACAGCAGTCAGGGTAACCATAAAAGATAGCAGCAGTTCTTCCCCAAAACACTATTAATCATCAGGCCCTCGACCTATCTTGAACATTTAAAAAATTTTGTATAGTCCAGGTGTAGCCCACGTTTGATTGTTCTCTAAGTCCAAAGAGAAGGAGGGAAGCAGTGGCACACTCATCTTAACTTTCCTGAGAGTTACCCTCTGAAGGAACACCATTACAGTATTTCACAGGTGTTAGTTTTGGCCTGACAAACTTTCAACACATGGTTTAAGGTTCAAATTTAAGGTGATCTCACTGCTTCTCTCTGCCCTGTGCTGGTCAGGACATCTTTCATGATCAGGAGAATGAAGGTCTAACAGTGTGGTGGTATATCCTGATATGTTTATAGAGGATGTTGGCCTACCTGTACAGTGATCCCCACTATAAGTAATGTATAGAATTGGTGACTCTTTTTTCTATTCGAATTAACCAATTGATCCACATTTTTGGTGATGTAAACTATAAAGTGTCCTCTTTGATCTTAGCCTCTACCTGTATGCTAACCATACATGATGTAAACCTTATCTTTTACTAATTATGTGCCTCCAGGAAAATTTAATTTGCCAACACCACATTGTCTCTTATACTTTTCTTACATTTTGATGGTAATATTAATGAGTTCATCATTGCGATATTCACAAAGGTGTGAGGACACAGTCCTGTAGGCTGCAGCAGAAACGTTTTTGGGTCTCTTAGAACATTGTGATGTTGTGTCTCAGCACACGTGCTGAGTACAGGGCTGATCACCTGGCCCAGAAACATCCAGAATTAGGGTATAGGACAGGGGTTCTCAAACTTGGGGTCAGGACCCCTCAGGGGGTTGCAAGATTATTACATGGGGGGCCATGCGCTGTCAACCTCCACCCCAAACCTGCTTTGCCTCCAGCATTTATAATGGTGTTAAATATATTAAAATGTGCTTTTAATTTATATGGGGGGGTCACACTCAGAG